CGGTACCTCGGTTGGCTCTTCGACTCAGGCACGATTGCTGGCGGATCAGTCAAGAATTACGTCTCCGCAGTGGTAACGGCCCACAAACGCGTCAAATTGCCCGTTGGATACACCCCACTCATCCAACTCGCGCTGGCCGCCTACCAACAGTCTGACCTGGATCGCCGCGCCGAAAACGACCCGGACGCACACAAGGAACGACGGGCCCTCCCGAGCACCGTGGCCAAGAAAATCTTCAACGCTGCAATGGCCGCTCCCGCTCTCAACCGTCAGTTCATTCGCAACGCTACCGCTGTTCTGGTTTCCTACGTCTTCTTCGAAAGGGGCGAAGCTGGCGCTGCGCTTCGCTTGGACAACATTCAAGTTTCGGAGCAATCAATTGACTTGGCAATTGCTTTACGGAAAAATCGATCTTGCGTGGCACATACTCTATCCTACACTAGGCTAGCTCCTGACAAGCCATCGCTCATCGACTTGGTCTTACGGTACGACCGGTACCGCCGAAACACCCGCTCCACAAGTCGCTACTATTGGGCCCTCCCGGGCCAACGGCTCACACCGTCATCGGCAAGCATCTCACGTTGGCTCCAAGCTTGCTTGTCTCACGCTGGCGTCACTCCCCCTCCGCAAGTGCTGTGGTCCTCACACTCGCTTCGCATGGGTGCCGCATCGGAATGCGCTGCAATAGGAGTTCCTTCCTACCGCATTCGCATCTGGGGGGATTGGAGTGTCGCTCGCACAATGGAAGAATCCTATCTCGACGCTCGCGTACAGCCGTGCGAGGATTCCGTCTTCTTTTTCGGACACCTGTCCGAAATCTCGACTACTCCCTATGGAGTTTCTTCAACATTATTCAGTGCATTCATTGGCAATTGAAATGTGAATTTGGACAAGGGGGCTTTCGGTTGGAACGCACGACAACTCAGAAGGAAGTGGAAATCAAGTGGACCATTTCATCCGCAGAAAGCCAAGTCAGGATGACTTGGCCACAAGTCAGCGCCAAGCCACACGCCATGATTTGGAATGATTCTTCGTTCGCGTAATGAAGAACTTGTCAAAAGCAAAAAATCAGCACCAAGTCACGAATGACTTGGTGCGGTTCTTCGTTCGCGTAATCAACACTTGGCACAAAAATGAATCATCACCAAGTCACACGCAATGGTTTGGCACCCCCACTATAACTTGGCAATGATTGCGAATGATTCTTCATTCGCGTCATGGAACTTGGCAGAAATGGAAATTCGGCCACTGTCCGAAAACAGGGCTGTATAAGAGAGGCACGTCAAACTCTCTCTCACCACTCTTCTTTCTTCCTCAAGTCGTCGCTTGTTTCTCCCACCATCCCACCCTCAGCTTCGCTGCTCAGTCATCAAGTCGTCACTGGTTTGTTCTCTCCCTACTCTTTCTTGTATGGCTTAACCATTCGGGAATGTTTTTCACACACACGCTGGGTAAGATAACGCGATCTCTCGGTCGCTACTCAAGCCCTCTCATCCTGGAAATGCCCCCTCATCTTTGAAGCTTACCAAAGCAGAACTCGAACTCAGGTGAGTCATGGACGCGCGCCCCGTATCAAGCCGAATGTGGTCCTCATCCGCCGAAGCGGGTAGTATCGCAAGGATAGCGGCCCGGGGTGGCATGGAAACGCGCGCCACTACGCTGCTCTGGCCGTTGTATCAACGTTTATGTCCACACCAATTGGGGACAGCGAAAGACAGGGGCAATCCTCTGGAATTCAAGGAACGGGAAGCATTTTTTCTGGACCGAGATCTTTAGGTAATAAAGCGTAATCTTGTTTCTTCAACATTATTCACATTGTTGTATAACCTTTTTTGAACCTTGGAGAATATCGCAAATGCGCTGTAGCTCTGATGGACAACGGGATGGTGCGATGTGCAGTTGAGGGAACAAAAGCGTACAGAAATTGATCAAGGGGGCTCGGTGTGAGGAATGTAGACTATTTGTAGACTTGACAGTACTTTCCCTCTTAGGATTCCATCACACGTGGAACAACATCTGGCATGGATTTTCTTTTAGGCGGCGTCGCAAATTTCGCGATATGGGTGAGCAGTCGTGAGAATGCATAGCCAGCAGCGGGTTTTTGCGATCCTCTTTTCACATTCTCCGATTTTCTAGACGCGTCACACGTCCGTGGTTGCCACGTTAAAACTAGTTCATGTTCAAAACTTCCCATTCATGTGAAAAGGATGACTACAGTATGTTCCTGGCTGGGCAATTAGCCGAGAGGGATTAGTGGCTTTTATCGTGACACATCTTGGAGATAGCTATCGGAGCCAACCGAGCAAAGAACGATGTGCCCACACCACGTGCCAACATCAAATATATGTTATGGTGCGGTAGACGCCACTCCAGCCATGCTACGGGTATGATGAGAGATGTAATCATTGCTTCAAATAGGCTGGCCGGAGAGCCGGTCATTAGTTCTATCGATCATGGATAAACTTTTTGATATTTTATACACGAAGAGATTGTGCCAACAGACTCAAACTTTTGTACAGACTATCTGTCGACGGCGAATAGCATATCGCTCATGCGTTCTGCTTTGCAAACAACCCTTCTAAATCTCGACTTGGAAACATGCCTCTGGTTCCCTCACATCAACGTCTTTGCGAAAGAAGTGGAATTGCTCGGCCAAATTCCTTAAAAGATGTTTGTTTTGCGAGATGATCGGCTATCGACATGTGGAGCGCACAAAATGCCCTAGTTGGTAAAGAGTCCTTACATCACTCGCTCTGCCGGCCCCGTACGTTTCCTTGCTATCTGAAATTACACAAAGCTCTCGTTCTTGATCGGTACAATATGCCAAGGGACGGAAATGTGACTGACCATGTCATGAGGGGAGTCTGCCTCTAGACATACTCTGTACCGTACATTGCCACACCACTGCGTGTGATCCATGAAAGTATCCGCGTTCAACCAATCCCCTTCAATGAGTGCTCGTACAGAACTTTTGGACTGGACTGCGCCGAAACGAACAGTGGATATTGCACGCCTATGACATTTGTGTCGTTTGTATTTCCTCAGGGCCCCCCATAGATCCTCGTTGGCGGCGCAGGTTGAAAGTTAACAGCGCTTTTCCAATCTGTCTTCAGAATCATGGCCGTATAGGGAACTTTCGGCATATGGGTTTCGCAAACGGGGCAGCGGAGGAATATTTAGATGGCTCCGTAAACATGCATGACTGATTTCAAGATTGTGTCTCAAACCCTCTGGCAAAACCACGCCGTCTCCTAGCCCACGAGAAGCGAAATTTTCAACAGGATCGCCCTAATATCTCTCTCCCGCTTTCTGTGGAGGCCCGAACAGGTATTGCAACGGATTCCATGCAGCGATATTCGTCTTTCAGTGGCAGATAGTGGTCATATCAGAGAATGTTTCAGCTGCAAAACTCTCGCAGGCATGTCTGGAAAGTCATTTCGTGCCTCGCTCTGCTAGCAGTCAGTCAGCCTGTGCTAGGTGCTCCTCTTCTCACGGCCACGAAACCTGGGGGGGCGACAGCGTTGGCAACACCTCGTCAACTTGTTTTCCAATGCTCGAAACGCTCTGCAAGTCGCACAAAGACAGGAGATGCAGAGGTGGTGTTCTTTTCAGGCTGTTCGACGCTGCGGCCAGCGCTTCTCGGACATGAAGATCACGCAGACGGAGCGCGTGCAACTGACGCGGGATCTCTAGTGCAGAGGTTTGAAGATGTCGAGCCGTTTCTGAAAAGTCGGGCTCTAAACCGAAGCGCCGTTCCTTGCGGAGCGACAGATGGGGTCGTAAAAGTGCCTGTAGGGTACGTGCCGGATAGTGATATTCCCATGGCAGAGCTACCCGGCGGCGAGATTTCCGCCAGAAGTGAATCGTCGCTGGGTAGACGCAATCTGCTCAAGCCGGCTCCAAGGTCAACTGGAAACTTTGCAATGGGTGCACGGATTGTTTCTAGTGGTTCCACTAGAAATAATTCGTGCACCCGTTTGAAAAAACTACCGCCTCCCGGAGCGCTCATGCCTCATGATTATTGCCGATGCGTCCGTGTCATTTGTATTTCATGTCACGAAAAGTGCTTCTGCGATTTGGAGTGTGTGGTTTCAGCTAGAACTGTAGAGTAGATACGTGTACTTCAAGGTGTCTGTACACCTGGTCTCACTTTGCATCTGGCCTGTCTGTGTTGTAGTCCGGTGTCCAGATGACAAGTGGGCATCGGTATGCAGTAAAGAGTGTCTGAAAGTACAGTGGGCGGTACAGACGGCCTGTAAACTAATGTTGCCGGACCAAGATGCCCTTCTTTGGGCCTCGTCCCTGAAACATTAGTGTCATGATGTGGACAAGCCCAGAGGAGTACCCTTGGGTACCGTCCGAGTATCGCATGGCTTTACTGTACATTGTTGCCTTGGGTATAGAGTCGACACTGTGGCCGTACTATGGGGGCGTCCCGCTCTACAGGGCATATCTGGGCATATCAAAGCCCTATTGAATAACTTGCGTGGCAAAGGTGGGTTCTAGGTTTTTCTGCACAGTCCAAATGTACGCTTCCTGCAGTTCTCGAGCACGCGGATTCCGTACGGTACAAGTAAGAAAAGTGGGTAAGCCGAGAATACACACGTTGGCCTACCGCATGCCACGCTATATTGTATGTGCAATACTCACAGGTACGGTACGTTGAGAGGAGCAGCAAAGCAGCGGAAGGGGCAAAGCGGTGGGTGTGTTTGGGAATTAATTCTCTCTCCACGAAATGTCGCTGTCGGACTGTCGGAGAGTTGAAATTTACATCTACAGATTGATTGATTCACACGCTCGACTGTATTCCGCATCAACCCGACGCAGCCCGCCTACACCAACACCTCACACTCCCTCCTTCCCGCATTTCGTGTACATATCGTACGCTACTCACGTATTGAAGCGCGTTAGCGCCTTACGGACCTGCATACGAGTCCGTTCGCCTCTGTAAACACACATCCCACCCCAATTACCACCACCTATACGTACAGTACATCACCTTAGTCCAAAGTTCGCCCCATCCATCTGCTCCCAGACTCACCACAACGCCCTTGAACGAGACACCATCCCACATTACTCTGAGTATACCGTTCCCTGTATGCCCACCGCAGGCCCCACCCCCTGCGACATACACCGATCACAAGCATCGCATAAATGACGCGACCTCTCCGTCGTCCCTCCGTCTGTATAAAACCAACATCACCACCACGTCGTTCAAGCCCCTTCCCCTACACGGCAGTTTCCACGTTCGCGCCCTGATCATCTCTGACAAGCGAGGCTTGTCTAACGTTTTCGTCATGACCTCCCGATCCGCCATCTCGTTCCTTCTGCTCCTTTCCCTCGCCCTACCCTCCCTCGCCCAGCCCTTCTTCCGCGACACAAAACTCCGCCTCGGCTCCACTAACTACTTTGCCGGTATCCCCGTATCCCTCGCCCTCGTCCCTGCAGACCCTTCCCTCCTTCTCGTCGGTACCACAGGCGGTACCATAAGACTCATTCGCGTCGCCCGCGAAGGCCTCCTTTACTCTGTCGTCAAGGAGCTCGGTGAGGTCTCGGTCGGCGATCGTCGCTCCGTCCTCGGTATTAACGCGGATCCTTTTGAACCAAACACTTTCTTTGTCTCGACAAGCGTACCGTTTTGGAGGGAAAGAGGTTTTGGAGAAGATGGCTGGCAGAACGGCAGGATCGAAAGACTGTTCTTTAAACCCGAAACGTTAGAGATACAGCTGGACGAAATCGCAGCCGTGAAGGGCTTGCCTGCCAGCCCAACAACTGCTGGTGTGTACTCTGCGATTGTGGATCCGCTCACGGCAAGGTTGCTCATCAGCATCCCTGCCTTCAACAATGGTGGCGTTCCGACCGAGGATGGAGCGCTGCCCGATTCCGTGTTGAGTGGTGCAATCCTAGACGTAGACATTCGTCGCGGTGGAACTCTTCGAGTGAAATGGTCTAGCTCTAATCCCAAGGTGGCCGTTCCTTTGGACACTCCCGAGCAAAGCGGGATCGCTATTTATGCCGAAGGAATACGTTCGGCATTCCAAGTCGCCATCTCGAGATTCAATAGACCTTTTCTCGTTGATGGGGGTGCGAACGTGGGTCGTGGTGAGCGCTCATTATCGTGCTTCCGCTCCAGGCCATTCCTGAAATCCTTCCCAGACAAAGTCATTCGTGTTAGAAGAGGGGAGTACTACGGGCACCCGAACAGACAGCGGGAGCAGTGCACGTTCATTTCGCCCGAGATTAAACCGGAGGTCGCGCGGTCGAGATTCCCAGGGTACACGCCGCCGCTCTTCACTAACATGGAGGCTATTCGGAAGGGAGACGTCGGGTCAGGCACGGTCGGGGTTGCGTTCTACGAGTCCAACTTGTTCCCAGGGTTCCGAGGGACGCTTCTGGGGAGCGATTCGGTGCTGGTGTTCGAGAGCGGTCGCGAGGGTCGGAAGGCGCCCGGGCTGGTCGCGTACAGCCTGAAGAAGCAGGTGGCGGTTCGGGTGGGGGGCACGGCCGGGACGTGTCTCGCGGTGAACATTTTCGGAGACGTGTTTGCGGCGCAAGCGCCGAACCGGACGATCGGTGTGGCGGTGCCGAAAGTCGGGCCTGCGCGGCGAGGGGCGAAGGGGATCTGGTCGGTGTTCCCGAGCCGCGGGGTGCCCGGCAGCTACATGTTCGTGACGGGCGTGGGCTTGGCGGTGGATGGCGGGATTGAAATCGGAGGGAATAAGTGCACGGAGGCGGAGATTGTGGACGGGAAGTTGTTGTTGGTGCGGTGCAAGGTGCCCGGCGTGGAGAGTTTCCAACGCACGCCGCTGGATGTTTCCGTCGGCGAGTTTAAACTGACGTCCGCTTTCACGATCTTGAACCCGCTGATCGCGCAACCCTCGGTTGGCGAGATCGGCGACGACGACGGCAACGGCGACGAGGACTTGTCGGAGGAGGGGTCGCCAGAGGGGTCGCCGGAGGAATCGGCTGAGGAGTCGGCTGAGGAAAATTTGATCCTGTCCCCGAGTGACGGCTCCGTTGTTCGGGAGTTCTCATCGGAGGACTTGGAACTGTAAGTGTAGGTGGAGCCTCTAGGATGAACTAAATACTGTACTGTAGCGTTTCTTACTGTTTCACTTTGTAGTTTCAACTATTGCAAGGCCTCCTCGAGCGGTAGGGTAGGGGTGATACGTAATAAGGATTTGAGCGGGCGTGGGCGGAGCGGGCGTGTGGACGGGGGGGGAGGGGCAGGTGTAGCTGTTTATAGTTGTATGTATAGTCCTTCAAAGTTCTACTTCATAAAAATTGTGCTCCTTTTGTTCTAAACTTGCGAAATTCCTAAGTTTTGTTTAAATTTTACTGTATAGAATTTGACCTTATATGAAGTCAAGAATGACCTCATATGAGGCAATGTGCCGGTCGTCTAGACACTAGCCCACACCATTGCACAATGTGTTACAAGTCGGTGATTACGGCGGCTGTCAGATTTGGGGGTGTCTTGAATTGATGTATTACTAGTTCCTGTGTTTGTTCGTGCGTTTT